TGTCAGTACTTTCCACTATTATAAAGATGATTAAAATAAGAATTTGAGAGATAGACTGACATAGGCCAAGAAAATGCCTAAACTTGCCTGGATCCACCTACCAGCACAGAACTTTGATCTTCCCTAACAGATTAAGTTGTCAAAAGCTACCTTACAGTTTTAACGTTAAGAGCCAAGTGCACAGACGTTAAATGTTTGTGATACCATAAGTGTCATTAGCATTTCGTTCCACTGGAAATCATAAAATATTGCTGGTTACTAGAAGCCTTAAGAACCCTAGAATGAGAGAATGACTGGTTCAAGTCCTAGGGCTTGCTGACACCACACCCAGCACATTGTTGCCTTATGAGGCAGTGAGTTCCCCATTCAGGGGATTATTCCAGTGGAGCTGGACCACTGGAAAAGTTTCCTGGATGGTGAGAGATTCTACAATTTAGACACCTAACTTAACACAACAGAGAAGAGCGGAGAAATGTATACAAAACCCAAGAATCAAATTAAATAGAGAGCTCATACCAGTAGGAGTTGTTTACTTCCTTGTTTTACAGGTGAAGGAAGGCCCTGAAGGATTAAGTATGTCACCCACTCAAGGTCACTGGTGGACTTTATTGACAGGTGGGGAAGCCAGCTCTCCCTGTTCTCAGCAGAATGCTCTTTCCTCTCTGGCATTTAAAGAGAACCTGAGGGTTCAGTGATTTGTAAACTAAAAGAGCTCTACTTAAAGATGTCCACAGATTGACCATGTTCAGAACAAAGGTCACATGTATGTAATGCACACTACAAGGGCCTTCCTGGTGGCACAAGGGGTTAAGACACAGCACTATGAAAATATCTGCAGCCACTATCCCCAGTTAACTTACATAGCACAGAAGACCTCTCCTGACTTGCCCACTGCTCCCCTCAGCAGCGTATTTCAGTCAGTCTGCCTGTTCTGTTCCCCACTCTCTCTCTGGTGAATGCTCTCACCCCCCACACCTCTGGCCTGTACCCCAGTTCTTGTATGTGTAAATAACTAAATCTTTAAAAAAAAAAAACTAACACTGAGGCTTTATAGTCATTCAAAAAACAAGAGATATCAAAAGTCTCCCATCAAAAAGGTATAAACATTTAGCTATTGTTTTACTGACCTGCCAAGAAATGCAGTAGACTTTGGAAAAAAACAAAAAAAATAATTTAAAATGATGCTATAAAAGAAGAGAAGTGTTAGGTAAGATGAAAAAATATATACCTAGGGAAGAATTTGAGCTGCTGCTTTCAAAAGGGTAAGAAAAAGCAACAGACTATTTAAAAAAAAATTCAAAGTCCCTCAGGTAAGCACCTATTCTATACAGAAAGCTCGGTAACCTGCCACAGGATACACTCACAGTGAAGGCTGGAGAGATTATGATAATTATATGGAAGTGAGGACGTTGAGTAACTTTTTGTACAGTATCCAAATTACTGAAACAGAGTGATTTTATTTTCCAAGTGTTAAGCCATACCCACAGGAAACAAGCAAGGCTATTCTACCCCAGCAAAGCGCCTTAGCTAGTCATGCATTCTGCAACAAGTCTCCATGGCAAATTTCCTAACACACACTTCTAAACACAAAGAACTCCTCCTCCAAGCCAGTGGTAAGAAATAGGCTTGTGCAACTTCAACTGGAGGATATTCTGCTGCTCCTGGAATCTTCTTAGGAGAGAATCACAGCATTATGGCCACCTTGCAATTCTAATATTGTCCAAATTATCAACATAGAGAACTTCTAGAAGCTATAAGCAGCCTTGGACATAATCATTTTTCAGATGAGGAAATTGTCACTAAAAAAAAAAAAGGTAGAATGACATGCCCAAGGTCACACCATTATTTATTGCCTCCCTGAAGCCACATAATCTTAAAACTGTGCACCAGATATAATCTGGGATGTGGAAACTTGCCACCTGCTTTGTATTGCAGGTCTAGAGTTCCCAAACCTTAAGGGACTTGCACACAAACCAGAGGACACATGTGCCCACCACCAGTGTCACTTCATCTTTTTTCCCCCAATCAAAACATGTTGAAATGTAGGTGAATAAGAGTGATCTTAGAAGCATCAATATAACAATAACCTTGAATCCTTCTGATAATGTAAACTTTGGGATCTTAATACTAGTCAGTAAAATCAGTTCTCCTTTGAAACACCTCAGGGTCAGTTGTGACAAGTCAGTGCAATGTGACACAGGATTGGAACCGCTGTTGCAAAATATAAATAATCACTACAGGTGCAGCAAATGGTGTGAACATGGGAATGCAGTCAACAATAATGAGGATTATATCTGCCTCTGCCCCCAGACTCGGATAAAGCAGCTTTCAGCAGGAAATAGGCACTGCTGGAGTGAACAAGTTTAAACGGGCCTACAGGAGGGGAAGCAGGTATCCTCGCTAGTGCCTTCTCAGATCTGGACAAAAGACTAGATCTAGCTGAGAATGCTGAATGTGGCAATGTGTGTGGGAACGTCTCATTTCCAAGCCCCAGTTCTGCCCCTCGGTGTGGCCTGATGCCCTTTTTTATTCACTGCAAGTTTTGAAGCAGCCTCTTCATATCAGGCTCTCTAGACTCCAAGGTGAGTAAAATAAAGTTCAGTTCTGTCAGCCCTGAAATCTCCAACAAGGGGTGTATCCTGAGGAAGGTGAAGGTATTATGCCAAAGAGGATACTATAACCATGAAAATAAAAACTTTGATTCACCTTTTTCACCTCTATTTTTGCGTTTGTTATTTGGGTTTGTTATTAACTAAATAGGCCTTGGTACACATGCTCCAGAAATTCCGAACTGGTGAACAAAAACGTTTGGGGACCGTGGATAGGCCCTCAATCTAACCACGGCTCACTCAGGGGAGGATGGGAGAGCAGATCAGAAGTACTTGGAAAAGACCCCAGGTGATCTCCAGGTGTCTTCTAGAGAGCCACTGAGCATCCAGGCCCACAGTGCCTGCCCCCTAGTCCACAGGGGCTGGTGAGAATGTCTACATGAGCTGCTGAAAATGCAAATACACTGCCCTTGGAATGCCTTTTGATAGATCTAATATATACTTTTGAGGGTGAAATGAAGGGTATTAGGGTAAAATAAGGAGTTATCGGGGTACACAATCTATCCATAGGTCACAAATGGAAACCATGCATTCACCATTACCAGTCTGGTTCAGTAGGTGCTGAGCTGATGCTGGTTTAGGCAATGGAATCTGGACTGGCGCCCATTCTCATTTCTGTTCCCCAAAGCATGAACAGCAACTCCTGTAAGGCTCAAGGTTGGGAATATAGCATTTCACTACTTCTGGTGAGTTCTAAAGGAAGATGCCTGATGCTCCACAGAGGAACGTGCTCTCATAAAAATGGGATATTTCTTTGTGGTTTTAGGTACTAATGTAAAACAGCCCTTTTCCTGGTAGGGCAAGTCTACTCATTAAAACTCGAGGAATGTGCTAAACAAGCTCTTTACAACTGGTTAAAATAGTAAAATCATGCTTTTCTACAACAGAGAAGTTTGACTGAGGGTTCAGGTAGACACCTCCCCCATGTGAATTCCCTAAAAGTTTCAAGAGGACACGTGGAAAGAAATAGACCCAGCTCGTCTACCCAGGTCGTCTTTGCTTCACTTCCACTCAACCTTTCCCACTTAATGCACCTCTGTGGGCATAAAAAAGTAAATTTCACTATACTGAACACCTTAAACTGAGGGGGAGAGGGAGGGACTGCAGCATGAGAGGAGTCTGGAGGCCAAAGAAAGATAGGTTCCAAGGCCAAAGGCCTCACTACTCAAGGGCAGGTGACAAGCAGAACACCTCCCACCGCCCACCTGGAAACACAGCTCTGATCTCCGCCTGCAGGTAAAGCATTTTTCTCCACAGGGTCTGTTACTCCTTTAAAACTGTTTATTCCTGAGAGGTTCCTTTCAGTAGCTATAAGGTAAAAGGAAATTCCCTTTACCCAAGGGCCTCTCAGAAGCCCATCCTGTCCAACAGTTCTTTCATTGCCTTTGATTTGATTATCACTCAGCTGGCCACACCGCACAAGAAGGACGAACAAGAGCATACACCAAGGCTTGCACTAAATCACCCTATTCTCTCTTTATTGGTAGCATTTGCCACCACTACCTCCAACCCCTATTTCAGATTCTTCTCCTTTCCTGAAGGGACTGTCTAAACTCTCAGGTCCCTGTTTGAGGACTGAAATTTTGGAAGTGAGAACCAGCCCCAACCCCAGCCAGCTCAAAGCAAGTTTCTGCTGGTGAAGGTATGGCAGAAAACTGCTGCCCACTTTTCGCACTGGACAGAGCATATGCTCTGCAACTTTGAATTCCTTCCAACACCCTCAACTTCTGGTCAGCACGCCTCCTTTAAAAGGCCTTGTTGGGCAAGAAGAGTATTTTCACTAAGAGAAACCTGCAATTTCCCTCTCCCTCTCCCTTGTTTTGCCGGCTTCCCTGCGCGCCCCTGAAGCCTGGGCGTTAGTTGGCGAGTCCAGGGTGGCACTGGACCGAGGTGCCAGATCGCTGTACCTGAATAGGCCAAACTGGAAAGCGCTTCGCCCTGATTAAGCTACAGGTGTTTCTTCTCCCCACATGCTGGCACCCAGGCAGCTCCAGGTGCTTCCCCATGAAACGTGCCTGGGTGTGCAGACTCAGGCCAAGTCCTAGGCGCCCTCACCCCCGCCAACCGCAGAGGTCTTGCCAGGTGAGGCAGGGGCCCGCAGGAGAAGCGTATGGGCAAGCATTTCCAGATTCCACACTCCTCCTTGGCCAAGACGCCTAGGGGAGTTGGGGGGGCAGGGGGGCGCTGAGAGCGCCACTCGCCTGTCGGACTCCGAGTGGCAAAGTCTGGAAAGCCCGCGGCGCGGGAGTGGGTGCCCAGCACCCAGACACACAGGTGACCGGCGCCCCCACCCCGCGACGCCGGGGGTTGGGGCCGCCTCGCCCACCGGGTCCGCCCCCCAACGCTCCCTCGGGGCCCCCCACCCTCCGCGCCCGCGCCGCCCGCACTCACAGCGCTAGGGTGAAGGCGCTCAGCCCCTCGGGCACGGCGGTGAGCCCCTTCCCGGAGCAGTCCACCCGACGGTCGCCGTCGCAGCTGCAGGGCGCAGCGCAGAGAGGCGGCGCCGCGCCGCTGGGCTCGGCCGAGCCGCGCAGCCCCAGGGCGAGGAAGCAGAGCAGCCCCAGCGGGCCCGGCATTGCTGCGGCCGCCTCCCGCGCCGGCCTCTCCCGCGGCGCCGCGCGCTCGGCGCCTCCGCTGCGCTCCGCCGCCCCGCGCCGCCCCGGGCGGCCGGCCTGCGCGCTGGGGCGGGCGCGCTCCTCTCTCGGCGGGGGCGCGGGCTCGGCCCCTTCAGCAGCCCGCCGCGGCGACGCAGGGACGCGGCGCTTCGCAGTCTCGCCCTGGCCGCTGCTCCATGGACGCGCCGAGGCAGCCCCGCGGCTCCGGCGGCTCAGGCCAGGCGCCCCGGCCGGGCGCAGCTCCGGGGGCCGCGCGCTGCCATCGCACCCGCCTCCCGTGCTCGGCCTCCCGCCGCGGTCGCTCTTCAAGGTTGCGGGGCGCAGCTTCCAGCCATGCCGGCCCCGCGCCCCAGTCCCGGCCCCGCGCCCCAGCCCCCGCCCGGCTCGCCTGCAAACACCCAGGCTTTCTCCCCAGCTCTCGCCGCCGCGGCGCAAGCTCCTCCAGCGCTTTTCCCTTCTAGGGTTGCGCGCTTGGGTGCCCGAGCCCCCGGCCGCTGGGGTATGCAAATCACTTAGGTACATGCAAAACTAACCCTGCTTCCGGAGCGCCATTGGCCCGGGGAGGTCTCGAGCTCATTACTATGCAAAGAGCGAAGCCGCCATTGGCCAAGAGTGGGACCAGAGGGGTGTGTTTTCCAGCCGTGAGTGACAAGGTGGTGCTGGTGCTGGTGGTGCTGGTGGTGCTGGTGCTGGTGGGTCCAGGCAGGATCTCTGGCTTGGCTCTGTTGGCGTGGCAGGTTGTGGATTGAAGGTAGAAGGATCCGAAGACCGAGAGTCTGGTTTTTCCTTCCCCCACCCGTCTTCTGCCCTCTGCAGAAATTGGATCTCCTCAATTGGATGACCTGAAAAGTAGAACTTGCCTCCAGCCTTTAGTTAAGTTTCAAATGACTCTCCACGGTTCCAAAGGGCGTGATCGTTGGGAGCTGTGCTAATGGAAAAAAGATTTTGAAGAAGAGGGGAAAGTTTGCCTTCTTGGGACATAAACACAGTGTAGATCGTTTTAGCTATACAGTTATTAAAACAGTGTCACCCCATAATTCTCCCATTTCACCGGAGTTTTTTTTTTTTTTTTTAAAGATTTATTTATTTATGCATACAAGAGCTGGGGGACAGGCCAGAGTTGTGGAGGGTGAGAGGATTCACCAGAGACAAAGGTGGGAACAGAACAGGCAGACTGACTGAAATGCACTGCTGAGGGGAGCAGTGGTGAGTCAGGGGAGGTCTGCTGCACCATGTGGGTAGCTCCCTGGCCAGCCAGGGATGGAACTCGTGCTGTAGTGGCTGTGGACAGCTTCATAGGTTGCGTCTTAACCCCTTGCGCCACCAGGGAGGCCCCCTGAGATCTTTACATAGCCAAGTCTCCGATTAATCAGCTACCCTGCAGAGTTTTGGTGACAGAAATTCAGACTGCTTTCCCACATACCCTGGAATCCCAAAGTACAGGAATCTTGTAAGAAAGGGTAGGAGGGGGTGTTTTTGAACACTGTGCAATTTTTCCAGACACAAAACATTTGTCTTGAGAAATCAGAAGCAACCCTAGGGTTAGAGAATTATCTGTCTTCTTTCCTCTTCTGGACTTCTGTGGCTTAAGAGACCCCCACAGAATCATCATTTGTACCAATTCTGTTCTATGACCACCTCCTTTCTTCCTTTCTTTTGGATTCTTATGGAGACATTTTTAATGAATACCTTTAAGGCAGGCAGGGTTAAAAATGTCATTCATAAAATTGACTAGTCATATCATGTTAGTAAAATTAAAGAAAATGGGAGCAAGTTGATGCAGACCTAACAAGTTTAAAATGAAAAATGTCCATCATCTTTGCATTCATGAGTTTATCTTTAAAAATAATGCCCAGTTGGGCACATGACTAATAGACAATTAATTTATCTGCACAGCAGAAAGCCAATAAATACAGATGTGCCTTGACTGCACTTTTTAGAAATAATGTATTTCCTCTAATTATAGGTCAGAAAGATAATTTAAAGATAGATGGACAAACCTCTGATTTTATAGATAAGAAATCTAAAGTGCTGAGCTACTGTGCCCAGCCAGGATAGTTACAGAGAGGCGCCTGGGTTCCTGGCTCCTTATCTGGTGCCCTCAGAGCCTTCCCCCTAAGTGGGCCTCCGTTGTGTAAATCATGTCCATTATTTTCTAGCAATTCTTATAAGCAAATAAAGTAAAGAGAACATGGAAAAATTGCTTTCTCTAATAAAGTCCTTTAAGACCTGTCTTTTATAACAACACTGAAAAATGACAGATCAGTTTCTCTTACCAAGACATCAATTTCTTCTGTTTTTAAATAGCAATTATAGATTATACTGAATGAATTTATTTTGCTTAAATAACTCATTGCCTCTCTTTTAAAGTAGTGGCTTTCAAAATTTAGTAAGAATCACATGCAAAGAATTAAAATTTAAAGTGATTTAGGAGCTCTAGAGAGCCCAGGAATCAGCACTCTGATGCATGTTTGCATAGATCATGAACCACACTTTGTTCCTTGGGTTCAAGAAATAAAATCTTAGGGGCCTCCCTGGTGGTGAAGCTATCTGCAGCCTCTGCAGCATGAGTTCTACCCAATCCCCGCCGGCCAGGGAGCTACCCACATGGCACAGCAGACCTCTCCTGATTCACCTGCTTCTCCCCTCAACAAAGTATTACACTCAGTCTGCCTGTTCTGTTCCCCAGACTAGAAAGCAACCAGTCTGAAAGCAGAGTCTTTATTTTTGCCTTGCCACCATATAATTGGTTCATCTGGATCTCCTTCTATGTCCCTGTGGTTTATCTAAGAGCCGATCATTTTTCTTCAGTTAAATAGGATAGTATCTTAATTTTTTTTAATTCTTAGCACATCTTATCCAAGAAGTGAAGATTAATTGGCCAATTCATATTTAGTGCAAAGTGTAAATAATGTAGGAACTATAAAAAGTACCAATACTTTAATAAATCTTACTTCTTTTCTTCTCTACCCAGTACTTTATTCCTGATAATTGTCTTCTAGGATAAGATGCAAATTTGAATCCTCCTTCTTCATTTGATAGACAATAGGAATTCATTCCTTAATAAAATGTGCATCTCCCCTTTCTCCAAAATCTCAATTTTTTTTTCCATTTAAATTGTCTGTCCTAAGATTTTATTTCTTTTTTTTTTTTAAAGATTTATTTATTTATGCACATAAGAACTGGGATATGGGCCAGAGATGCAGGGGGTGAGAGGATTCACCAGAGACAGAGTGGGCAAAGAAGAGGGTATCACCTCGGGGTGATGCTCCCCTTGGGCTCTTGTGCAAAAGGCACAAGGTGTGTTGATTGGTGGACAAATTGGACTTTGGTCCCACTCACCATCTTGCCCAGACACTCCTATTAATAAAGACCCTAAACTAGTGTGTGTGGAAGCCCTACCTGCCAGTTGAATGTGCCAAGATGCTCCAGGAAGGAAACAAAAACTGGAGATAATAGCAGCTCTCCTGACGTGTGATAAGGTTGAATTGCATTAAAAGTCCTCAAAATAATTATATGAAGTACTTCCAACTACAAAAAGAAAAAAAATCTGAATTTACTGCACCAATTTAAGAAATAAATTGCAGGGTATATATGGCAAATTCCGCTGTCACTCCAGAAGACATTTTTTTAGCAATGAAACAACTAATCAGACCTTTGTAAGAATTTAACTAAAAAACACTAGCCACACAGGCAAAAATAAAGAAACATGACAAATTGGGGGAAAACAAATAAGTAAGTTGCAAATGTACTTGAAGCTCCCTTTATATGCCTCTTCATACTTTTTTAAAGATTTATTTATTGATGCATACAAGAACTGGGGTATAAGCCAGAGGTGTTGGGGGTGGTGGTGAGAGGATTCACCAGAGACAGAGTAGGGAACAGAACAGGCAGACTGACTGAAATACTCTACTGAGGGGAGCAGCGGGCAAGACAGGAGAGATCTGCTGTGCCATGCGGGTAGTTCCCTGGCCAGCCAGGGATCGAACTCATGCTACAGAGCTTCATAGTGTTTAACCCTTTGCACCACCAGGGAGGCCCTCTTCATTCATATTTTTCACCTTATTCCTCTCCCTGCAAAATAAGCACTTTCTTAAAATTTATAATTAATTCCCATACGTACTTCCATGCTTTTCATGTGTATGTTCCTAAGCAATCTAGAGTACTGTCTTGAATATATAAATATTATCTTCTTGAATTTTTATGCAACTTTTCTCACTTAATCCATGACTATCCATGTTCATGAAATATGTGGCCACTGTTTTTCATTCATTTTCATTACTGTATAGTATCCCATTTAAATAATATACCCAGTTTTTATTTATCCATTCTCTTGCTAATTTTTAACTTATTTTTATTTTTTTCTAACAATGCTACCATGAATACTCTTGGTTTAGTCTCCTTGCTCATATTAACCAAAATTTCTCATAAATACATTTCCTTTTAACAATGTGTTTGTATGGGGGCCTCCCTGGTGGCCTAAGGGTAAAGTCTCAGAACTATCACAACTCTGGGCCCACCGGGAAGGCCTGAGTTCTATCCCCAGCCAGCGAGTAACCCGCAAATGGCACAGCAGACCTCTCCTGTCTTATGTACTGCTCTCCTAAGCAATGTATTTCAGTAGATCTGCCTGTTCTGCTCCCCACTCTGTCTCAGGTGAATCCTTTCATCACCCACACCTCTGGCTTACACCCCAGCTTCTATGCTAAAATAAAAGAAAATCTACAAAGAAAAAATATGGTGAAGCCTGTTAACCAAACTTACTAAAAAAAGTGTTTGTGTGTGTGTGTGTGTGTGTGTGTATGTATCTAGAAGTCGAATTGCTGGGAAATAGATCATGTGCACTATTATTGTATATTATCAAATTGCTCTAAAAGTGACTATTTGTTGGAATTCTATTCAGCAACCAAAAAGACAAACTAATGCCATTCACAGCAACATGGATGGACCTAGAAGGAATTATGCTCAGTGAAACAAGTCACAAGGAAAAAGAAAAATATCAGATGGTTTCACTAATAGGAGGAATATAGGGGAACCAAATAAGGCATCAGGGAAAAAAATAATAACAAAACAAAAACAAAAAGACAATTATAAACCAGAGACATCCTGCGGGGGTGGAGGGGTCAAAAGGAGGGAGGGAGGAGCACAGGGGACTGTGGTGATGGTGCACAGGTGAATTGGTGGAGGAAATTCTATGGAGACTACACCTGAGGGGGAAAAAAGCAAACATTGTTTAAAAATAGGAAAAAGTGACTACTTTTAGGAAAAAGTGACTACTTGTGCTTCCTTCAGCAGGAAATAAGAATCCACATTATTCTATAACCTACCAACACCTGATATTGTAAGACTTAAATATTTGCAAACCTAATGCCTATGAAATGAAATCAGTGTAGTTAAACTTGAGTTTCCCTGATTACTGCATCTTTTTATGTTTATTGGTGACTCTGGTGTGCTCGTCTCTGCCTAGTCATTC